TGTAAATGTTGTAGCATACGAATATGAATGTCGTCGGGCCCAGCTGCCGATGATCGGTAAACTGAGAGTGTTGCCTCCAGTTCTTGAAGTGTAAAAGGCACATTATACTGTTCTTCTCTGAGAGAAGAAAAGTCCAAGGGTGCTAACTCTCTGGCAGACTTTGAGGAAAGAAACGAGGGGCATAGATGGAGCCCCTGAGAAATACAGACCAGATGATTGCCAATTTCATTGGCAACATCTAGTGGGTTTGCTATATCAACACTGGCAACCCGCAGAAAAGGAGCCAGGTCAGGGGAATATTTACCACTCAGTTTTCGTACTTTTTTCCAGACTGCACTCATAGAGGAAGCAGAGGTGATGGTGGAGACATAATCTCGCCAGCAATTGCGTTTAGCGTTACGGATGACACGGCGAGCGATCGCACGCTTCTGCTTAAAATCAAGAAGTCTTTCCATGGTTCTATTGTACCGGTACCTGCCCCACGCAGCGTGTTTCAAACGTACTGCACGAGCACAAGCATGAGACCACCAAGGCACGCATTTCTGAGAATGCCTGCCCGAAGTTTGGGGTATAGAATGAGAAGCTGCGGTTAAAACGGAGGATGAGAAGAGGTGTAAAAGCTCATCAATGGAGGACGAAGAAGAAACCTCACTAAAAACAGTTAGTTGTGAGTAAAGGTTCCAATTTGCCTGATCAAATTGCCAGCATGGGATAAGAAGAGGTGGTGAATATGAAGGGGAAGTGAGAATGATTGGGAAATGATCGCTGTCATGTAAATCCAGGAGAACAGACCAGGTGAAGTCTAATGCGGCAGAGGAAGAGCAGACTGAGAGATCTATGCAAGAGAGAGAGTGAGTCCGAGGATCAAAATGGGTGTGAGTACCTGTATTTAAAACATGGAGGGGGTGGGTAGCAAGAAAAGCTTCTAACTGAATGCCACGGGAATCACAGTGAGACCCCCCAGAGGAAATGATGGGCATTAAAATCGCCAAGTAACAGAAGCAGTGGTGGTAATGACGAAACAAGAAAGGCAATATCCGGGATAGATAATGCCCGAGAAGGAGAGAAATATAAAGAACAGAGCGTATACCACCTATGCGAGTGGATACGGGCTGCTGTGTAATGCAGCAAAGTATGAACAAATACTGATGGTACGGAATATCAGTGCATAGAAGAAGGGCACTTTCATTAAAGGTCCCATCAGGAAAAGGATCTGAAGAATACAATAAATTATAGCCTGAGATGGGATAGATAACAGCATAGTGTAATTTTGGTTCCTGTAAGCAAACACCAACAGGAGAAAACTGGGAGAGTAACATATGAAGCTCACCCAGATTACCCCTGAGGCTGCATATATTCCACTGTAAATAGGCCATGATTGGCAACAATAAAGATACCTGAAATCCGCAGGTAAGGGTTCCTATGGACTAGAGGGGTTTAGAAAAGTCTACATGCGGTGACATTGGAAAACGTTCAAGCAGCGAAGGAACGGTGCACTGCGAAGAAAGGAGTTGCGCAGATGGAGGAGAGGAGAGAGAAGGAACAGAGGGTGGATCAGTGTCCATTGATGGTTTTGTCTCTGCAATATATTCAGAGATTGCTTCAAGTGTTTTGGAATTCAGAGATGTCATATGGGAGACAATGTTGGAGATGGTAGGGAGAGGATGAGTAAAGATTGGAACTGTAATGGACTGTACCAAGGTAGGGTAAGGCGAAAGGGTGGAGGGAACTGGAGAAGAAGCGTGGAAGGGGACAGAAGAGGCAGAAACCTGGGAGGTGGCAGAAGAGGAAGAAACTTGGGAGGGAACAGGGGAGGAAGGTACAGTACGAGGAGGAGGGTGAACCTCTACACTTGTAACAGAGCTAGTGAGAGGAGAAGAACCAGGTACAGAGACAGGGAAGGTAAAATGAGGAAGTGGAAGAAGGGAAGGAGGGGTTAGAGGACCTTTTTTTGACTTCTGAGAAGTAGAGGGACGATTGGGAGGTGTCGTACGAGATCTCGTCGATACCGAGGCTTGTGAGGGAGAACACAAAGAAGCGAGAACAGACTGAGGCATTGAAGTAGGGACGTCTGAGCCCAGGACAGCAAAAGAATTAGATACAGGAGTGACTATGGGAGAGGTAACCACAGAGGAGGCTGCAGAAGATGGGATCCCAGAAGTGGGGGGACATTTTGAAACACGGGAATAAGAAACACGAGGTAGTTTCCCTTGGAGGCGGAGATGAGAAATGGTCATGGCATAAGGGAGACCTTCTGCCTCTTTGTGGTAACGGATTTCCCGCTCATTTAAGTAGACTTGGCAACGGCGAGAGTACGAAGGGTGAGCCTCATGACAATTAAGGCAAGAGGGAGGTCAATTGCAAGACGTATGAGAATGGTTATCGGCACCACAGACTGGGCATTCGGCTACAGATCTGCAATATTTCACTGGATGGCCAAATCGCCAGCAATTTCTACACTGTTGCGGTGTAGGGATCACCTTTCGAACTTGTAACCAATGTCCTGCTACATAAACTGAGGATGGGAGTTCATGGCTGTCAAAAATTAAACGAGCCACATTGCTAGGGTATTGTCTCCACCCATGGGCAGGAAGCTCATAAGTGTCTACCTTGAGGATTGGGAGATCTTGGAGTTCCAGCTGTTCAAGAATGTCATTGCCACATGTCTCGAAATTTTGTTGAACTATGGTATGGGGCAGAATGACTGTACCACTACAAGAATTGAGGGAATGATGTTTTTCAATAGTGACAGGAACAGTATCGATATGGGAAAGAAGAGAAAGATCATGAGCTTGGGTGGCATTCTGTACAGTGATGATGCATGTACCACTCTTAAGAGCTGAAAAGAAATATCTTTACCAACATGGTGTAGGAGTGTCTTGCCAATACTATGGTCAGAAAGATAGGCAATAGAGGAAGTCGGTCGTAAAGTGAAGAATTTAGTCCATTGTGCATTCTGAAACTGAGCGTGGAAAGGGAGTGCAGGACGTGTCGATCTTTTCTGAGAAGAACGAGAAGGTGGAGAAGTATCATCAGCAGGTAATTGTCATTGGTGCTTAGGAGTGGGACCAGAGTTGGTCTGACATGGAACGGGCCGGCGATTCGAAAATTGCCGCACCATAGAGGGAGAGGCCGGAAGCATAGTCAAAGGAGAGCAGAGGTCAGATAAATCGAAGGAGTCAGTCGAGACCTCAGTACCTGAAGCAGGTGAGGAAACAGCACCGGCAAGAGGTACAGAAGCATTAGGAGTGTCTGAAGAGTGGTCCAAAGATGAGGCGGGGTCAGAACGGGGTGCGGTATCAAGAAGGGGCCCGGGGGTAGCAGGTTCATGGACTAGGGCTTCCATGGTTAGGTTACTTCTTTTCGTTTTTAAGAAAAAAAAGAGAGAAGAAAATAAAATAAAAATAAAAAAAAGAATAAAAAAGGGGGAACTGGGGAGGGATAGTTCCTAGGAGGAATGAGAGGGCCAGAAATCTCCCTCCATGCCCAAGAGGACCTCAGCACCGCAAGTAGCGTAGATGCAGCATGGAACCTGTGCCATACCCTACCCATCATGCCAGTAAACCAGCAATCCAGGATAGCAACCTCACATCTGCCGAGATACCTCGGTGGACAAAAGAGAGGGTGGCCGGATATCCACCACAAAGCATACCTCCTTTGGTCACCACCCCCGGAATCCGAAAGGCAGCCTCCAGAGATACACCCGTCGCCCGAAAGATACCCAAAGTCACTCCCCGGGAAACCGGAGAGGGATTGGGACATCCCCTGGCGATCCAGATTCCACGGCAAACTACACCACCGCCAAGAACCTCAATGGAATGGGATGGACCCTAGAACCCTTTCCCCTACCCAGGAACTAGCGTGCCTGTGGGAAAAAAAAAAACACCCAAAGGCCAAAAAGAGGAAGGGTAATAGGGAGGGGGGGGAGGAGGAGGAGGAAAAGAAAAAGGGAGGATGGGAGGATGGGATTAGGGAGGGGGGATTGGGGGGTAATTAGGTTCGGTCTGAGGAAGGAGACCAACAGGTCTAATTCCTCAGACCAAGAGCCTCTTCACCACGCCAAGGAGCCCCCCTTGAAGTGGCAACATTAAAGAGACAATTATTTTTATCCAGACAACCAGATTATTCTGCCACTATCTGATGTGTTAAAACTTCCGCAGAAAAATGTACTTGTGCCTCAGAAGGTCCTGATATTATGAAAATATATTTTTACTCTACAATAGAGAGGAAACTACTCAGGTTGTTCGACTATATAGTAGTCAGTCGAAATAGCCGTTATCTCCAACACCCAGGAATACCCTCCAGGTAGATTATTACTGAGTGAGGCACCAAACCTGTATGGCTCATTCAGTGCAAGGAGTAATCGGAGGCTCGAACCTCTGTCTATTAAGTGCGAGGCGGTGCCTAAATGTATTCACCTAGCTGTCCTCGCTCTGAGGTTCGCCTCCAAGTGCCAGAAATATAGAACCTGAGCTGTCAAGATATGCTCAGAGAGCTTAATCACAGTGTTAGAGGAAAGGAAGACTCAGATAAAAGACTGCTCAGAAGATCAATGATATTCAGGGATATAACCTGACAAGACCACCACAAGGTGTTCTCAAGGTCTGGAACCAGCCTCTGGTGCCACAAATGAAAACTGAACACCCTTATGTGTCAAAATTCATGGAGTGTAGCCCAGGAAATGTAGCTAATTCTCTCAAATATTTTCTAGGTGAATCATAACATAATATCCATAAACAGTCGTTCATTACAACTTACACTGAGTTCATAACACAATAAATTTACAAGTAAATAGAATTATTGATTGTTAAGTTACGATACCACTAAACGTATCTCTGTTTTTGATATATTGCCTTGGTTTGCTCCTTTATATTTATAAATTCATGGCTAAGGAGCAATTTAATTGTGACGAATGTGCTTTGTTGCTGTTGAAGATTTTTATCAGTCCTCGCTGTCTTTTTTTTTCCACTGTAGATAACCTATCACCAATGAGAGATATCGTCTCCATGTCAGACATACTTTAAAAGCCAGCACTGACGTACATGTTGTCAGCCCAGAAGACCTACATCGTGCATAACTGGTGCAAACAATATCTGTGAGACTTACAGGAAAACTGTACATGATGATGATGGCTATGGAAAAAGAAGTTAATTGTTAAGTGGTGATCGAAGTCTTGAAAAAAGAGACATGTGTGAATAGGGGATAACGGGAAGAAGGGAATGTTTGTATAGAACTGATCACATGACAGAAAAATGAACTACGTATTAAAGGTGATGAAAAGAGGGTACGGAAATAATTTTCTTCAATATCAATGAAGCTATATTTAATTACAAGTGTATGAGAGTAATTCGATTTTTTTTATTAGCAGCGAGGTGTTAGCGTGATCAATTTATTTGTGCAGCTGAGAAGGGATCCAGAATCAAGAACTCTGGGACGATGTGTCACACTGTACGAGGACACAGATACCTGTGAATCAATGGCAGAGTGTCGAAATTTAGAAGAGATCATATTATTGGTGGATTGATACAGTGTGCACAGTGTAGTGGAAGAAAAGTCTGTCCTGTGAGTGGGAACAAAAACCACTGAAGAATCTTAAGAGAAACACTGTGTTCGCTCGTTCATTATGTCTCTCAACTACACACAACATGAGCACCGCGCAGGTAATATATTATTTAAGAAAGTATTTAGCTTTACTTTATTCTTACTCCTTCACTTTTTTGTAAAATACTAATGTTTCTTTATCGAGGCTGAAATAAAACTGTCACATTAGAGGGCTAGAGAAGCGAAATGTCACATTTCTTGTAAGATTTTCTTGACACTATTGACACGAAACAGGTGGAGTCAGCATCCCACAGACTCCTTTTATAATTTTCATCTCTTATCGCTCTTCTTAGAATTCATAATATTTTCGCAATTTCTTAATATTTCATTCTTCCCCTCCTGATCTACAATAATTTTTTTCTATCGAAATTTAAGCTTTACTGCTACTCTAAGGCTAAAAAAGTGTTTCCTAACATCCCTGTGACTCGGGCAAACATATCTCTATTTTTCGGACTGAACCAGGTTTCGGTTCATCTATTTTATTTCTTGCGCTCCGGCTATGTATGTTAAGGAAGTTTTTGCTTAAACATTTTCAATAACTCTCATCCTAAATGCTTGATTTTCAATTAATTCTTTGTTTTCTTACTGCAGTTAGACTTACTATTCTAGTCGACTTTTGACAAATGTCTTCACCTACTAGACCCCTCTTCCAGAACCTCTGTCAGACTCTTCAGGAACTTCTGTCATAGTCTTCACGAACCTCTGTCACAGACTTCCAGAACCTCTGTCAGTCTCTCTTTCAAAGTCTCCTCCAGAGGCTATTCCAGAGTCTTTTCTGATCTTCGAAAGCTTCTTCCAGAGCCTCATCTAGACCCTCTTCCAGAGCTTCTTCTCGAATTACTTTCAGAGTCTTTCAAAACCACTTTCAAACTTTTTCAAAGCCTCTTCCGGAGTCTGCCAGTCTCTTCAGGAGCCTCTTACGAAGATTGTGAAGTCTCAGAGCCTGTTTCCGAGTCTTTCCTAGATTCCCTTTCAGATTATGTTTTGAGAACTTTTTCCGAAACCTCTTCCAGCACCTCTGCAATGGGCTCTTGCAGGCTCTCTTTCAGACCCAGTTCTAGACGTTATCCAGAGCCTTGTACAGTCTTTCTTCCAATATTTTTCCAAAACCCTTTTCGAAGCTTCTGCCGGAGCTTTCTTCAAAGCTTCTGTTAGAGTTTTTCCAGAATCTATTAAAGAGTTTTTTCAAATCTCTTCCAGAGGCTCTTCTGGAACATTTTCCAGATCCCCTTCCAGAACTTCATTCAAAGCTTCTAATAATGGCGTCATGAGAAAATCAATTCTTATTATTCTTTTCTGTTATTCTTTCGTTCTACTGATTTTCATATTTTCTTCTTCCTGATTATCCTCCTCTTCTCTCTATCGGTAATGCGCCTGAGAGGGTTGCCAATGGCTGAACTGACGGAAGATCAGTGTGCCATATTAATTTTTGCCATCATTATTCCTTTATTTTCTCTTCATTGTGCAATTCTTTGTTCAAACTCTTTGCTCATCTGCAGGACCCCTGCCGAAGCCTTCACGACCAGTGTCTTCGAGGAGGCAGAGTGAGTCTGAGGAGCACATGTATAAGGCCCGCTACGACTACGAGGCGGCCAGGGAAGGTGACCTCAGTTTCACGGAAGGGGACATACTCGAGATCATCGGTCCTCTAGTGGGAACCTGGTGGCTGGCGCGCAACACCCGCACCGGCCAGGAAGGCTATATACCTTATAACTTCATCAAAAAGATGTAAGCGATCACTAAAGCTGCATGCAACTCATTTCATTACTACATTGACTGTATTCCTGATCACCTTTTCCTTGGGTCAAACTTCACAGTATTACCTAACATTCCACAAGAAGGAAGAGGAGGCAATAGAGTAAAAGGGAGGACAGGTCCACTGTACCTATGTGGGTAATAGCACCATTTAGTGTTTATGAAATTAAAACACTATGTGTGTGTGTGTGTGTGTGTGTGTGTACTTACCTATGTACTCACCTAGTTGTGGTTGCAGGGGTCGATTCACAGCTCCTTCTCCCCCCCCCCTGTTCACTGGCTGCTACTAGGTCACTTTTCTTGCTACATGAGCTTTATCATACCTCTTCTTAAAGCTATGTATGGATCTTACCTCCACTACATCACTTCCCAGACTATTCCACTTCCTGACAACTCTGACTAAAGAAATACTTCCTAACATCCCTGTGATTCATCTGAGTCTTCAACTTCCAACTGTGACACCTTGTTGCTGTGTCCCATCTCTGGATCATCCTGTCTCTGTCCACCTTGTCGATTCCTCTCAGTATTTTGTATGTCGTTATCATATTCTCCCTATCTCTCCTGTCCTCAAGTGTCGTTAGCTCGATTTCCCTTAACTTCTCCTCATAAGACATGCTCCTAAGCTCCGGGACTAGCTTTGTTGCAAACCTTAGCACTTTCTCTAGTTTCCTTTCGAGCTTGGCTAGATGTGGATTCCAAACTGGCCTACCGTACACGTCGATTCCTTATTAAGATGTCAGAATGCTGTTCATAGGTTTACTAGGCGCCCGCATGCTGCAGCAGTTATTTGGTTGATGTGCTCCTCAGGAGATGTGCCCGGTGTTATACTCACCCCAAGATCCTTTTCCTTGAGTGAGGTTTGTAGTCTCTGGCCCCCTAGACTGTTCTCCGTCTGTGGTTTTCTTTGGCCTTCCCCAATCTTCATGACTTTGCACTTGGTGGGGTTGAACTCCAGGAGCCAGTTGCTAGACCAGGCCAGATCCCTTTGTAGTTCTGCCTGGTCCTCGTCCGATTGAATTCTTCTCATCAACTTCACAAGCTTCGTGTCTGTCTTTTTAAAAAAATGGGACTACATTTGCCGATTTTCCATACCTCAGGTAGCCGCCCTGTTTCGATAGATGTGGTGAAGATTGTTGTTAGGGGTACACAGAGCGCCTCTGCTTCCTCTCTCAGGACCCATGGAGAGATGTTATCCGGCTTCATCGCCTTTGAGGTATCTAGCTCACTTAGCAGCCTCTTCACTTCTTCCTCGGTCGTATGTATTGTGTCCAGCACTTGATGGTGTACCCCACCTCTCCGTTCTTGTGATTTCCCTCCTTCCGTAGCCTGATTACCTGGTCCTTCACTCTCGTTTTTCTTCTGATGAGGCTGTGCAACAGCTTCGGGTCAGATTTGGTTTTCGCTGCTATGTCATTTTCGTATTGTCGTTGGATCTCCTTCCTTACCTGTGCATATTCATTTCTGGCTCTATGCCAGCTCTCCTTATTCTCCTGGGTCATTTGCCTTCTATACTTCTTCCATTCTCTAGCACACTTGGTTTTTGCCTCTGTACATCTTTGAGTGAACCAAGGGCTCATCTTGGCTTTCTCGTTACTTCTGTTACCCTTGGGTACAAACCTCTCCTCAGGTTCCTTGCATATTGTTGTCACACATTGCATCATCTCGTGTACTGACTTCCGTGCCAGTTCTCTGTCCCAGTTAACCCCGTGCAGGAAATTCTTCATGTCTGTGTTGTCCCCTCTCTTGTAGTTTGGCTTCATTCGTCCTGCCCGTTCTACTTCCCTCTCCACTCGTGTCACTCCTCCCAATTATTCGTTATTCCATCAGCGTTGGTGTACCATACCTTCAGTCTCCTCTTTAACACTGTGTTCTGGGGGTCTGTGGGGGTGTTAGACCTGGCAGTGTGCTGTGAGGTTCTACAGCATAGTGTGGGGTGGGGGCTGTATGAATTGTGGGTTGTGTTGGGATAGCGTGTTTGGTGGTGGGGTTCTGAGGGTGGTTCTGTGTGTGCTTCTTCTTGTTACTCTGCCCGGCTCTGGTTGTCCTCCGCTGACTCTGTCCTTGTCTCTCTTCCGAGCCCCCTCTGTGTTTGTGTGTGCGTGCGCGCGCATGAGGCTCATAGCGTCTCTGCGCAGTGGTTGAAACAACATGACACAATGTAAGCACATATGCCCCACTCCCCCTTTTTTTCTGCAAAGCAACATTTTCTTTTTCGCCAACATTTTGCACTTGTCCTCCGCTCACCTTTATCCCTGAAATCTTCTCGCCCCTGGATTAAGAACCACCGCCCCAGTGAGACGTGAAACACTAAGAAAGTGCCAGTGTTGTGAGTGAAGATACTCAGTGTATGTTTCCAGACACTTCTGGATGGTAGAAATTTGATGGTCCTGGATTTAAAAAAAAAATAGATAATTCGGTCACATTCATATAAAATTAAAAATAATGTGAGTACACTACATTATCTGCCACTTTCGTAATACGTCTCTCAAACACTATAACGACTCATTCTGGTTCTCTACTAAAAGTATTTATATCAGTGAACTAAATCACTAAATATGACAGTTTATTTCCCACACTGCGACTTTCTTCAAGTGTGTCACAATATTGCCAGCGTTTTTTTTATTTATTTATAGCAAGTTCATACACAGGTGAGGAAGCAGGTGAGTGTATAGCGTTTTTTTTTTTGTTTTCGAGAGTTTAGTAATAAACGTCTCTACTGACAACAGTTACTTCAATATATTTTTAGAGCTATTGTAAGTTATCGAAGTAATAATATAAGAGATAACACCAAAAACAACAATAGAAACAATAAAAATAGCAACAATAACAATAGCTGTAACAATACACAAATAGGAGAGGAGAGCTTATGACGAGGTTCCGGTCCGACTTGGACCGGGTTGTGTATTGTTCCAGCCATGGTAGTATGTCCTTGTTATTTAGCTGTAGCAACGTTAAACAACAACAACAACAGCACTATCACTACAAACAATAACAAAAACAACAACTATAACAACAGCAACATAATCAATAAGAATAATTACGACATCATCGGCTACAACAGTCAATAATTAAATTTCAGTAATAATACTAATAATAATAGTAATAATAAATAATAATTTATTCATTTTATTTCGTTTCAGAGCTGGCATAAGCAACTCAGGTAAGCAATAAAGCAACTGATCTGGCATTAATTCTTCATTATTTCCACTTTAGCTAAGGTTTAGTACGGGTGTAAGACAGGTTTAGTACGGGTGTAAGACAGGTTTAGTACGGGTGTAAGACAGGTTTAGTACGGGTGTAAGACAGGTTTAGTACGGGTGTAAGACAGGACGAAAATATCGTGTCTGCGATCAATGTGTCGGTGTAAGTAATTTTGAGAGAGTAAACCTGCCATATAACGGACTAACGAGGCTAATAGCACTACTCTACTGTACACCTAATTACTGAATACACAGTTTGCTGCTTTGCTGCAATAAACATTGACAATAAACAAGTTACCCAACAGTACGTTATACCAAGTAGGTTCTGACCATAATTGTGAAAGTCCCTTATATTGGGGTCCGTTAAAGGATGTACCTCAGTCACCGCAAGATTTGATTAAGATATCTCTGTATTCTATAATCCCAGTCCCCTGTGCCTCAGTGAATGCGATTGGAATAGTGTAGAGTGCGGCGTAAGTTGATAATTCAGTTAAGTATTAGTGCTGAATATTTGAAGGTAATCAGAAGTAATATTTATTAGTCATCGTATGAAAGCTTAAAAGTTATATTATCAAGCTGTGAGCATGGAAAGCTTGAAGGTAATCACATACGGCACTCAGAAATTATCACATGAAAAGCAGTTCCATTTTTACCAATTTCTTCCCAAAAAAGAGAACTGGGACCCACGCAGGATAAAATTA